CCTGGACAGAAGATATAAGTTTTCACCGAGGTACAATCGAGAAACCACTGGTAAGTGCAACCTCCGCCACGGTTGTCGGTATCATCACGGAAAGGCAGGGTCCACGAGGGATTCGGACTGCCCGGAGCGCTCCATCCGCTGCAACTTTGACGATTTCCCCGACACTGAGAGCTGCCCTCGACTTCCTTAAAGCATACGCGACACACCTGAATGGACTCCCTCGGCTTAGGACAACGTGACTCGATCTTCCAAGCGTAACGACATCCGCCGCCTCTGTTGTCGGTGTCATCTCGGAAGCGGTGGGTCCAGGACGGACTGGGGGTCCAACCAGTGCACGAGCTCCTGGTTCCTTGGCACTGTGAGCTCCCTTCTGTTTCTTTAAAACAGAGACGGTACTCCATCTCCGGGTTGATGGTCCCCTGTGCTTCAATTCTCCATTGGTACTGGCAGCCTCCAGCTCTATTGTCGGTGTCGTCTCGAAATGATTCAGACCATGCAGGACTGTTGCTCCAGCCACTGCACGTGTGCGACGGTCCCTGGCACTGAGAGCTGCGTTCAGTTTCTTTAAATCAGATCCTAAAACCCCCTTGACTAGCCCAGCAAACTGAAGGGCAGCCGATGATTAGCAAGATTAAGACGAACAATTTCTTTTCCATGATCAGCATGACGGAAAACGATCGTTGATAAAATCCGTGTCGTGGGGTCACTTCACTGAATTGATGCTACAAAGTTAAATTACAACATGAATAGTAGCTTAGTGGAGTGAGAAAGGGAGAGAAATGGGTGTGTTGAAAAATCATCTAATTTTTTTCCGTCAGAATTGACGTAAATAATATTTGTATCAAGGCGTGTTTTCAAAACAAGGCCCAACACTGCGCGAGCTCTGCTTGCATTTCCGGGTTACGATGCTTTCTGATAAGGAACAGATCTAAATATAAACAAATAACTGTGAGGGATAAATCTGGCCACGGTTGTGGCAGGTTTAATGAAATCAAAGCTAACAGAATCACAACACAGCGATAAATGTATAAAACCGATTAGCCTGCTGGGGGCGACAAAAACCCGCCACGAACTACACAACTGAATAGAAAAATGAATAAAAAAAGAAGAAATATAAAATACCGTTAACCGATAAAAAAATAAAAAAAACCCGCAGGCAGGTGAAAGGGGAGGAGGAGGGAAAGATTTTGCTCGAGATCTGACCGAGTTGATGACGAGGGAGAGAAGGGAGAATTATTGGCTAAATACCACAATATACTGAATATACTTACTTAACCATGACACCGCCCTGTAACCCCATTTTCTATATTGGCAGTACCTGGTACAGCTAGCCTGACCTAGCGAGTTATCATGCAAGTACCTCTCTTGACCTAAAAATGTTTTTTTAAGCCCACCAAGTAGCAGCCGAATTGCCTGATGTACTTTCAACACGTGAGCAAATAAATTTTAAAATTAGCGTGAAGAACTTCCGACTTTAAACTTTGATTTCCAGCG